GCTCTTACATCCAAATTCAATACACATAAAATAATACTACCTTTTTATAATTATTCAAGATAAATGTTTTCTAATCATGTTAAACAAGATTTATGCAAATTAAAATGGAGACTCAAACACTTTTGTTCAACTGAAATAGACCGGACATCTCTTGTCTTTGGTCCCACTCAACAACATGCCATCTCGACCGACCTCAATATAACAGTTTGCGTACATCCTATGGCTCTTACTGTGCCATGTGTACACCTTAAATCGAATGAGAGACACAACCTCCAAACGAAACTCTACCTTCCCTTGATTCTTGTCTCGTTCCATCTCCATCCAGCGGTCCTTATTCACCGCCATTGTGGGCCCATGTATGGCTCCTTCGATCAAGCTCGTGTTCTTTGGGCCTTGGTAAAACGGGTGAGTGAGTTTAGTCGACCCAACCCGTTTTCCTTTGAAGTAAACGGATCCTTCCATGGAGTCGTAGTAAACACCAACGTTTTGGTTCGGGTTATGAGCCGTTACCTTGAAGCTTATATGAGACGTCTCGAACCCTTCTGGTTGGTCGAGGCCCGAGACCGAGAACCCGCGGATATGGAAACGCGGTCGGTGTGGTCGTAGACTGATCCATAAGATGAAAGTGATAATGCCTAAACATAGCAAAAGAGATAAGCAAATGGCACATATAAGTTTGGAGACTCGTGTCGTGAGACTTTCTTTGACCCGATGAACGATGTAGCTCGCGGAGTGGTGTCGCGCCATGGGTTGGGTTGATGGGTCAGAACGGACCGGTAAAGGGTCGACCTTGTTGTGCATTGTGTTTGTGGACTAATGTTGGTGGGTCATGGAAGTTATATGAAATATTGTAGATGAGTTGTGACTTGTGAGGTATATGTAGTAAAATGAAAATAAAAAATTGATGTGAGTTACGAAGAAGGCAAAAGATACTTTGGAAAATATTATGGATATTTCACTTTGAGAAGTAAAGAATTGACAACTAAGTATCTATTGCTTTTCTTTACATGGAGGTGCAAAGATTTCAAATTCGACCATCACAATTCATATTTTTAAATATATTGCCTAACCTAAATTTGGTATGATATGATGAATTGCTTTTCATAAAATATTTTATGTATACTAGTTCTGATAGACATGGCTAAAAGCTAGGTTATCTACATTGGTTTGATCAAAAAGTTAGGCTTACACAGAGATTTAAATTGTCTATAACTCTAGCACATTCACTTTTTGCAGGAGATTGTCCCTTCAACAAGAAACCTCAAATCCTACTAAATTAATCCAGTTTAACACATTAACTTTCTTGTTTTGTTAACATGTGGTGTGAAGAAGTGTAGACGAAGCATTTGATACTAATTGCCCATAAAGAAACAAGAGTGAATTTGGTAAATAACAAGATGAAATAAGTTAATTAAGAGAATAACAAAGAGAAATTGAGTCTTAAGAAACTAACAAAAGAGTACAAGAAAAAAAATCAAATTGCATAAAATAGAAGACATGTTTTGTATGTGCTGCGCGTGGGGAAGAACTGAAGATAATGTGACGACATTTATTGCATATTTAATGCATTTTTTATCTATTATAATT